GCGCAACATGCTTTATGCGCGTGCTTTACGTGTGCGCGCAACGTGCTTTACGCATGTGCGCAACATGCTTTATGCGCGTGCTTTACGTGTGCGCGCAACGTGCTTTACGCATGTGCGCAACATGCTTTATGCGCGTGCTTTACGTGTGCGCGCAACGTGCTTTACGCGTGTGCGCAACATGCTTTATGCGTGTGCGCAACATGCTTTATGCGCGTGCTTTACGTGTGCGCGCAACGTGCTTTACGCATGTGCGCAACATGCTTTATGCGTGTGCGCAACATGCTTTACGCGCGTGCTTTACGTGTGTGCGCAACGTGCTTTACCAATGTGCAACATGCTTTATTGTTTTGGCAGAAAGTTCACTCCATACCAAAGACTCCATACATGGGCCGTGTGTGTTTTAAACTTTTTAAACTGTACTTTACAAATCAGTTTTTTTCATCTTCTAAAATTTGTAAAATAAAATCAGAATTAAAAAATACTTAAAAAACAAAAGTAAACAAGAAGTTGCTCTCTAAACCTTTTCTTGATGAAGAAATTTCCCATCTGGATTGCATTTTTTTCCTTTTTCTTTCCATTACATTTCTTTTTACAAAAACCTTTTTGTTTTAACGATAAAGGAACAAAATTCCCCCCATAGAGCAGGGAAACCCTTTAACCTGCTGCAAATGAAATCTCACTCATCCTACTAGCATCAAATAAATGATCCATGTTGCAAACTAAATATCAGCGCTAAGATGAATTATAACAACGGATGGGTTGTGCTTGGACTCGTAATTAATGGCACTGTAGATATAAAGCAAGTCTCTGTTTTATATAAACTTGGCGGACATTAAATCCAACCTGAGGTGTGTGTTGACGGAGTGCTTATATGGTGTGTGCGCAGTGTGAGGACAGACGCTTTGAAGGTCAGGAAGCCAACGGCAGCTTATAAAAGGCTCCCTGATGACGACCCAACTATAGCAGGTCAGAGTTAAATGATAACATCCAAGTTCAACAGTGATTACTACCTTATCTTTGCATTTCTCACCTGAGGCAGTAGTTAGAAACATATTTTTAAGTATATTTTCACATTTCCTCATTGATGAACAACCAAAAAAAGTGACAAATCTTTTTCTTTTTTAAAGAAATTATGATGCAAAGCTTGCCAGTAAATAAAAAATGTCTGCTTTTGGTTTCCAGATAGCGGCTTTTCTTTGCTATCAAAACGAGCGGCTGTATGATGGCGGTAAAAAATATATAGGGCTATTATTAAAGGGTTTTTTTTTTTTTTTTTTTCATAAAGTATTGTCAACTAATACACTAATTGATTATTTATATTATTTCAGCTGAAGATATAGACTCTAGAATATCCTAAAAGAACCCTGAAACTGTACAAAAGTATAAACATTTAGCATTAAAGATGAAAACCTTTTTTGGTAAATATATTCTAACCAAAACTCCCAAAGTTGTTTCCTTTCAGCTTTACCTGGATCAAATTTTGCAAAGAAAACAAAGCAGAGTTCTAAAGCACTTTTAGTTTTGGTTGGTTTTTGGCTCCCCCTGGTGGACAAAAGCTGTATTGTTTTGCCTGAAGACAGCATTTCCCATGAAGACCAGTCACATTACGCGATCAAATCCTGATCTTCCAGTGGTCTGCAGTTGGAATAAACCTAATTTCGGTTTCCAGTGGCTGTGTGAAAAGATAAGGCTAAGCTAATGAAGCTAACAGTGTTATATAATGATGTTGAGAATCAGAATCCTTTACGGTTTTCTACCGTATTCCTGCACAATTTATGAATGTTGAAAAACTAGTTAATGTTGCTTTAAGCACCATTTGCAATCAGACAATTAAACAATTAATAAAAAACAACAATTGACTGGTTAATCAATTTGCAAAATA